TTAGGGAGAGGTAAGTGGAAGGACGTGAGGGAGGAATGAGGCACAAGCCCCCAGTGGGGCACAACAGGGAGCCTGTTACTGCCTGCAGAATGTGCTTCGAGGCTTGAAGCAACACATCCAGGAGAAGCCCCAGAGTGCCCAGGGGCAGCTCCGGCTCCGTGCTGCAGAGTGCTGTGGTGTCATGAGTGAGGACAACCAGAGCACGCAGTGAAAAAAATGCTTTGCTGTCCCTTAGCGAGGTAGGCAAGCAAGCAGGGAAACCTTAGAACAGTCTGTCCAGGGGGGGAGGTGTCCCTTTAAGCACAAGTCTCAGATACCTTCTGTGGCTCCTTCCTGAGGCTAACTCCTGACCTGATGCCCTGCCAGAACGGGTTCTGGCCAGCCTTAAATGTGATTCAGCGTCCTATCAGTGTGGACGCACTATTTTGAAATAGCAAAACGCTATTTCAAAATGCATTTTGTTTCTAGACGCATTATTTCAAAATAAGCTATTTCAAAATAACTATTTCGAAATAAGCTATTTGGAAATAACACTGTAGTGCAGACATACCCAAACTGTTGAAGTTAATTGGACTATTCATAATAGGGAGCAATACTATAGGAGAAAATTTTCAAAGGCATCAGTGGAATTGGTCCCCGACTTCCATTCATTGTCAGCAGGATTTGGATGCCTAACTGCCCTTTGTGTTTTTGGAAAATCTCCCCATAGTCCCAATAATATATTTAAAAAAAAATCTAGGCCATGCACGGGGCAAATTTCACCTGGCCTAAGCTATGACATGGTAATATTCTACCGGTGGTTCTGTTCACAGACTGGTATTAGAAAGTTCACTTTGCCACTGATCTGGGATGAAGGATGGTCCAATGGCAAGGATATTGGCTTAAGACAGTGTTTCTCAACCTTTTTTTATAAAGTACCTCTTTAAAAAAAATGTATAAGTACCCCCAGTACCTACAGTTTTCAGACACACAATTTTTTTTTCTATCATTTCAACACATGTGTTTAAACAACTTAATCGTAGCCGGGCAGGGCAATTAAATTTTTGGGTGTAAAAAGTACAAAAATAATAAAGCGCTGTAAAACTTAAAACAAAAATTCAGTTTTCTCCAAATTTCAGTTGTTGACATACCCCCCAGATTTCTTTTGAGTACCCCTAAGGGTACTCGTACCACTTGTTGAGAAACACTGGCTTCAGACATGGGGAGCCAGATACAATTCATTGCTTTATCACGGCCCCTGTGTGACCCTAGACAAGTTATTTAACCTTTCTGTGCCTCAGTTCTCCATGCATAAAAAATGGGGATAATAATGCTACCCTATTTCAGAGCAGGTTGTGAGGCTTAACACATTAGAGACTGTAAAGTACTTTGGGTTTGACTCGTAAAAAGTTCAATATGAGAGACCGGCTTTACTATTAGGGGTGCTGACAGCATCCATACGCCCCTGGGCAAGATAGAGTGGTGGGCCGGCTCAGTGCTCCCAGAAGGGCTTGGAGCTTGGGGCAGAAAGGGCCGAGTCCCCCCCCTCCCCCTCTGTCCCCAGCCATAAGTCACCCAGTGCAGTAGCAGAAGCAGTGGCAATGGCCGGGAAACCTAGACCACTTTGAATCAGTAGGCCCCATGGCAACTTCAAGTGAGCAGTGATGCACATACTAGATAGATGACCATATTTCACCAAAGCAGGGCTTGAGCCCTGGCTACGGCATACCTGACATCAATGCTTTCTCTGTAAGAAGAAAGGTGCAAGTACTCCAGGGGGAAGTTGTTGAGCAAAAAACAAACAAACAAAAAAGACTCCAAGGACCTGCTAGGGGTTTTCCAGGTAGTCACTAAAAAAAAAAATCACGCTTCATGGGGGGAGGAAGACGACCGGCCAAGAAGGGAACGGGGGGCTAGAAACAGCAAATGGAGGGGGGGCAACGGGGCTGGCCGAGGGAGATGGGGGGGCCAATGGGAAGCGGGGCTGGTTGTAGGGTGGAGGTCGAGCGGAATGGGGCTGGCTGCGGGATATTGGGGGGGGAGACGGGCTGGGAGTGGGCAGGGCTTGCTGGGAGTAAGGGGGGCGGGAAGCACAGCTTGGGGCAATTGGGGGCTGCAAGGGGGGCCGGGAGGAAGAGTGGGCAAGAAGCAGAGCCGGCTGGGGGGAGAGGAGGGGTGCAGCGGCGCTGGCCGGGAGAGATCAGGAAGAGGAATGGGCCGGCGGGAAGGACAGCTGGCGGGGGGTGGTGGTAGTGGTGGTGCAGCGGTGCTGGCTGGGAGGAAGGGGGGGCCGGAATGAAGGGGGGGGCAGGAAGCAAAGCTGGTGGGGGGGGGGAGGAGTGCAAGGGGGCTGACCAGGGGAGATCAGGAAAAGGAACTGGCTGGCAGGAAGCAGAGCTGGGCGTGTGTGTGCAGGGGGGCTGGATGGGGGAGATCAGGAGGGAAAGGGGGGGAGAACCGGGCGGGATGGAAGGGGGGGGGGTGCGCAAATCGGCTGGCGGGGAGTGGGACTGACCTGGGCTCGTGCTGCCTGTCCTGCGCAGGCTCCCGGCGACGCATGAGCTAAGAGGAAGCTTCCCCTCCTCCTCACACTCAACCGACTGAGGGCTCCCGGCGGCAATCGTGGCCCCGCCTTCCAGCCACTCCCCCCACCTCCGCCAGGCTTCCGTCCGGCACCCAGCTGGAAAAATCAGAAAATACCGGACATTGCACATGTCCGGTATTTTCAGATGTTTTTTACTGGACACAGCGCTCAAATACTGGACTGTCCGGTACAATACCAGACACCTGGCAACCCTAGTCAGCAAGTCTGTTTACTTTTATTAGTTCTGTGAATAAACTGAGGACTACAGCTTCCAAGGCTGTCAATCTATCAGCTTTCATATGTGCTTCATTCAGTTGAAAAAGGGTTTTAATTGTTTGTCATCAAATTCTCTTCCTTGTTTTGCTGTGTTATAAGTTTTGTAGACAAATATTTTGAAAGCCAAATCATGGGCCATATATCAAAAGTTTTCCAATGTCAGAGTTGTCAGCCTAGTTTTAAGGTTCACTTCAAGCAGATACATGAAGTCATTTCAGTGCCAGATATAAACACTTGTTAAGTAATGCAATGTGTATTTTTTTCAACAGACATAAATTATTGAAAAGAAAATGGCACAGCGAAGCCCAATCTTTCCGACACTTGCCCCTACTGAAAGGTACAGTCTGACATGTTAGAAATCTAGAATCTACAGAGTGCAGGAGTATTTATACTTCTCCTTTAATTCTCTATTTACTATCATGCTTAACATTATAGCTTTTGTACTTAGTGCAATAACTAAACTAAATTAAATATTTTAGACATATACCCTGCTTATCCAAATCATGAGTTAAATTATAAAGTCCTTGGCTTTTATTTAGTCCTTTCTCAAGGAAAACATCTACTGGCTTCAACTGTGACTGAGTCTATGTCTACACTGCAGAGTTCTGCCATGTCCAAAAAAGCAGACACATTTTTTCGGCATCCCTGTAAACTTCGTTCTGTTTTTTTCAGACAGCGTGTTTTTTCCAACATTTAGCCCCGTGTAGGTGGGCCAAATGTTGGAAAAGCCTCTTTCGGAAGAAAAGCGGAAAAAGATACGCAAATTGCGATTTGCGATTTGCAATTTGCGTATCTTTTTCCGACTTTTCTTTGTAGTGTAGATATAGCCAGAGTGAAAGTTCAGGATATTAGGACTAGTCCCAGTGGAAGCTTTTCACGACTAAGGAATGGGTGTAAAAATGTAAGGTCAAATTCTGCGTTCATTTACACCCTTGTTGTATCTCTATTAACTTAAGTGAAATCATCACACAATGTAAGTGAGAACAGAATTTAGCCTTCAGTTCCTGATTAGGCCCCTATGAGTATGACATAACAGATCTAGCATACAAGAAAAAAAGAAATAAGAAAGGTGTTTAAGGTATTGAAAGGCACAAAGGAAAATTAGGCACCCAATGATCATTGACTTTCAATGGGAGTTGAAGACCTATTTTCAATTTGTGCTTTTGAAAATCTTTCTCTAAAGAATTATAAAACTTAACTTCTGTAAAATACAGTGTTCATCGATGGCCAGATTTCCAAAACTCTCAGCACCTCAACAGCAACTGTTGCTTTCATTAGAAGCTGCCCAGTGCTGAGCTCTTTTGAAAAATTTGTAGAGTTATTTTGGTGCCTAAATGGGAGCTGACCTCTTTTGAAAGGTTGCCTTAGAGACTGTGAGAAGCTTGGATTTTGTCCCTCATGGATTTCCAAAGCTTAAGCATCTATTTAACCAGTTCCCAAGAGAAGTTTTTGGATGCATACTCTGGAAGTAGCCTTACTGGGAGAGAAAAAAATTCCTTCTTAATTTTATTTGTATTTAACTTTATTACAATTATTGCTTTGAATAAGGATGGGAAAAAAGAAGAGGCAAAATTTGCCCACATATAGTGATACTTGCACAGTGTAATCAAAAGCATTCTGTGTTCGTCCCCAGATAGACTGCTTTGTTTTGCTAAGTGCACATGCCTGGGTTAGTTACCCTGAAGTGAACTGGAGAGGAGGCCTTGATCTCCCTTCACACCTACCACTCACGGCAGCAAATGCTGTACCTATGTACAATGGTGGGAACTCTGGAGGTGTTTAGGATTTTTGGGAGCCAATGTTCTTTTTGGAGGCACTGTACCTCCCAGTGTTTCTACTAAGCTGGTATCAGTCTCATATACATGACTGTGGTTAAAAGCTACAGTAGAGTTTTGAGTAAGGCAAACACATTAATAACACACTTGTTTTAATATATTTCTTTTGTTAGACGGATTCGAAATATACCACTACACAGCCAAGCTTTGACCGCAGTCCCATTAGCATCTGCAAGTCTAGTGGATCAGCTAGAAGACAGAATTCTAAGCCATGAAAAAACAACTGCTGCTCTTGTGGAACACGCTTTTCGCATTAAGGAGGACATTGTTTCTACTTTGCATAGAATGCAGAACAAAGGAGGAGGAGATCGGTTGGCTAGGCAACTCTTAGAAGAACATATCCGAAACATAACAGCAATAGTGAGGCAGCTTAACCGGGACATTGAGGTATGTACTGGTTCTTTCCCGGGGCTAGCACCATTTCTGCTATTGACTGAATTTAATTAGAAAAATTAGTAAGATTTAATATATGGTATAAGTATAAGAGCTAAACATTTATAAAGTGTAGGTATATGCTTACCAGAGTATGTAGTTCTTTTGGTTGCTATAAAAAATATAGGCCACTGGCAGGAATTTACATATAAATTCTACACAGTTTTGTGCTGCTAATCCGACACAAAAGACAAAACTAGAAAATCATCACTGAGAGATAGCCATGTTGGTCTGTAACTTTAAAAACAACGAGTAGTCCTGTAGCTCTAAGATGCAACACTAACATGCACGTCAACTTCAGTTGAAAGGCCCTACTACCTAAACATATACAGACTCCTCTCCCCTATAAGAAAACATACACAGACTCCTCATCCTTTTCATTTTCCACATCTGCCACCCACAATGCACACACCCAACTTATCCAGTTAATCAAATATACAACCTTAAACCTGATTTCTGCAGAAATTAGCAGGGTAGTGGTAGTTGAGTGAATATAGGTTAGTATTTGAGAACCCAACTCTGCTGCTAGTGTGACTTTAGAGAGCGTTCTGTGAGTGGACTGGACTTGAAAATCAGGAGAAACCATAAATAAATGTATAAATAGGATGAAATTCAATAAGTACAGTTGCAAAGTACTCCGCTTAGGAAGGAACAATCAGTTGCAAACCTACAAAAAGGGAAATTACTGCCTAGGAAGGAGTACTGCAAAAATGGATCTAGGAATCATAGTGAACCGTAAGCTAAATATGAAGACAATAGGTCTATAAAATCATGACTGGTGTGGAGAAAGTGAATGAGGAAAAGTTATTTACTTGGTCCCATAACATAAGAACTAGGGGTCACCAAATGAAACGTATAGGTAGCAGGTTTAAAGCAAACAAAAGGAAGTACTATTTCATGCAATGTGCAGTCAATCTGTGGAACTCCTTGCCAAAGGATGTTGTGAAGACCAGGCTTTAAGGGTATGTCTACTCAATAGGGCTTAACTCAAAATAAGCTATGCAAATTGAGCTAAAAGAGTGTTCCAAGGAAGAGAGAGAAAAATATTCTTTTTAAACTCTGATGAAAGGATAAGAAGCAATGGGCTTAAAGTGCAGCATGAGAGGTTTAGGTTGGACATTAGGAAAAACTTCCTAACTATCTGGGTGGTTAACCACGATAATAAATTCCCTAGGATGTTGTGGAATGTCCATAATTGGAGATTTTTAAGAGCAGATTAAACATACACCTGTCAGGGATTGTCTACTGTAGGTGGTACTTGGTTCTGCCATGAGTGCAAGGGATTGGATGCCCCATTTTTTTGCATGCCTATAAAAACAGTTGTTATTAAATTAAAAACAGATTTGATATTTTATTTGGATTTAGCAAAATATAATAAATGGCCTATTGAATGTATAGTGACTTGTTGAACTTCTGTTTGCGTGTTAATGCCTTATAGACACTACAGGAACAGATACGTGTCAGGGATAACCTCAGTTATGGAACTAATTCTACCTTAAAGAGTCTGGAACTGCGGCAGCTATCTGGTTTGGGAGATCTTCGGGGGAGAGTTGCAAGGCAAGTGTCACTTTCGGGAGTGTTTTTTGCAATCAACTTGTTTTCTATTAATCTTCAAGTATGCCTTTTATATTTAATGACAGTGGTCCAAATTTAACCTTGGTCTAAGTCCCAGAATGAATTTGGCTCAATGTTTTCATGGCAGTGAGAAATAATCTCCTACATTTCAGTATAAATATTAACATTAGTTACATGGCCATTAATTATTGAAAAAGATACCATTGAAAAATTTGTGTTCCCAGGGAGCAACATAAAATTACATATTGTTTTTTAATGTATTTTAAGAAGTAAAAATCTTATTAAAATTAGATAAACTGCATGTTATTCCCAGGGTTTAAAAGAAAGGGGAGTGGAAGTAACCATGGCATCATAGAGGTTCTATAGGCCAAATTAAGCCCTCAGGCATGGACTACACAAGCCACGATGTTGCTCAGAGGCGTGGACATAACTCCTGGTGTAGACAGCGCTATGTCAATGGGAGCGCTTCTCCTCTTGATCCAGCAACCATCTCAGGGAGATGGAGTTCTTAAGCCAATGGGAGAAGCCCTACCATTAGTGTAGGTAGACTCTTCGCTGAAACTGGCATCAGTGCAGCTTACTAGCTGCAGCACTGTATGTGAAGACAAGCCCTTACACATGTGCAGCTTTGTTATTTTTAGATAATTCACTCAATAACACCTGGGCAAACCAACTTACAGTTGGCATTGATGACAATGAAAATATAATCTTAAGGTAATGGGGTTGTATGGCTGTAGATGAGGACTTAATTTGTCATGGAGAATCTTTATGGTTGATGGCATTTGGTGAATTACACCAGAGATGAATTTGGCCAATTATCTGGATTTGTTAAGACATCCCATTCCTTTTTAACTACACCAGTTTTGTTAGTTGACTGTAGTTCATCAGAAATTTACTGATACTGTCAATAGGCTGGAAAAACTTAGCTAAGGAAGGTGGAAGGTTAAAAGATTCTGTAAGATTTCCTGCTGTCTATCTTGGGCAGCATATAGTTTCCACATTGACTTGTTATCCCAATTTCCAAAAGAGTTGTTTAAATAGGAGCTAGAGCAGTGATTACAGAGGATTGATTTTTTTCAGACATTAAGACAATTCCTTCTAAGTACATCAGGAAAGGACAAAATCAACTCTTGCTTTGTTGTCTTTCAGTCAGACAAACTATTGAACAATATTTATTGATCACTGAAGTGTTCCTGCCAAATTTATCTCCACGGGTCTTCCTGCATAGCCCTCTTTATATAAAGAATTCACAATGAGATTCTACAAGATCGCATGTTCGGAGCAACACAATTAGTGCCAGGTTGTGCAGCTTTTATTTATATTGATGAGTGCTCATTCATGCCAGTAATGCCATTGAATTCTATGAGTGTGCTTACCTGAATGAGAACTTGTTAAAATGTGTCCCGCAATCTGGCTCTAAATGGCAGAGAACTTAAGATGCGGGGGAGGTAATGGGGAGCTATCTGCACTTAAACCAATATTTCTTCTTGATATGTTTGCTTGGGGAAGTTCACTTTTTTTACTTCTCCCCTAATAATTGTAACTACATGATTTAGATTACACAAAGTGCAGTGCTCAAGGTCAGACATCAGAGTGCCTAGGGCTAGAAATTCTTGCTCATTATTGAGACAGAACACATTTATTGTCTCTTTTTATCTCCTGTTTCATGCTTCCCCGTTGAGCATTTTGTTAAAATCTTCTCTTGGGAGGGAAAAAAACTTGTTTTAGCTGTAAAATGCTGAATTCAATTAGGACATTGTTCTGTGAGAATGAATTATCTGCCTTCAATTACAAGTATATTTTGCTATAAAAATTCCCATAACTCCTGGTTATAATTATCATTTGCATTGCAGTAGTGCATAATTACCCCAACTGAAACTATGGCCGCATTGTGCTAGGTGCTATACAAATACAGAGTGGGAGACAGTCCTAAATTGCTTGTGATTATTTCATCAATAATCCCCCCAAATTCTGGAGAGGTTCAGACCTGAATCTGAACTTCATAGCTGGTCTCATTTTTCTAAAGGGATGATTTAAATCCTGACAGTGCAATAACCTACAAGCTCTGGGAATGTTTAAGTTTGGATTTTAACTTGTGTCTTATGCCTTTTGTGCAAAAGGGTTTTTTCCTGATAAATGGTCCTCTCTACACAGCGCTTTTTATCGCAAAAACC